AATTGTATGGAGGGCCGGCTGGGGCAGGGGATTGGGGTGCACGGGGGGGGGGGGGATGAGGGCTCCGGCTGGGTGTGCAGACTCTGGGGTGGGGCTGGGGATGAGGGGTTTGGAGTGCAGAAGAGTGCTACGGGCTGGTATCAAAGTGTTTGGAGGGCGATCAGGGGTGCAGGGTCTGGGTGGCGCTTACTTGAAGTGGCTCCTGGAAACAGCGGCCCGTACCCCCTCCAGAGGCGGGGCCACACCACTCTGCGCACTGTCCCATCCGCAGGTACTGCCCCCGCAACTCCCATTGGCTGGGAACCACGGCCAATGGGAGCTGCAGAGCCGGTGCTTGGGGTGAGGGCAGCGTGCAGAGTCCCCTGGCTGCTCCTGCTTCTGGGAGCTGTGTGGAGCAGAGCAAGGCAAGCCCCTGACCCTACTTCCCGGCTGGAGCACCGGAGCGGGGAAAGCTCCCAACGATGCTCCCCGGCGGGAGCTCAAGGGCCGGATTAAAAGGTCTGACAGGTTGGATGTGGCCCATGGGCCGTAGTTTGCCCATCCCTGATTTACACATTTACAAATGTACAACTGTCTCCAGAAAGTACACAAGAAATTCATTCAAAGACAGGAATAACCTTCCTTCACTACTCCCTGGCCGTCTTTTTAACACTGCATGTGAAAGGGAGCAAAAGAAAATTTCCTGCTTATACTTTCCCATACTGCCTTTTCAGGGTATTTTTAATTGTTCTGATTAAAAATTTACTTTGTTAAATACCACTGAGAAGTTCATTTCTGGTTTCCAGTTTTATATATTTCTTTCATGTAACAGGACCTGAAGAAGAGCTCAGTGTAAGCTCAAAAGCATGTCTCTCACCAACAGAAGTTGGTCCAATAAAAGATATTACCTCACCAATCTAGTCTCCATGTAACAGGGTCGTGACCATTCTTGCTCCCTGTTCTTGAACCCTCGTCTTCGCCCTCGGCTTGATTTGGACCTCGCCTCTTGATCCACACACTGAAACCTGAACTGGACTCTGATCCTTGGTATTGATCCCTGCTCAGGTGTGTCTACTTAGTAACTAGGGAAGGCTGGCTCTGCGGCCTCTAGCCCTTAAAGGGGAAAGTAACGCTGTTACACTTTGTACCTTCCTACTAATCTCACAGGGAGAATTTGTGTGTCAAACTTAAAATTGGGATCCTGTACTGGAAAAATTTATCCACGGGAGACTGATCAAACTTTTCAGAACACATGATTCCATGGTGTCCTGCACCATTATGGAGTATGCAAAGGGGCTGGGCTGAGATGTGTTGCTCAGGCAGGAAAGTGCACGCAAAGGTGGCTTTAACCAGAGAAGTACAGAGACTCTGACTTCTGGGTTCAATTCTAGGTTCTGAAGGGAAGTGTGTTCTAGTGGTATAGATCCTTCTGCCCCTGTGCCCACAACCTGCCACCAGCCTCTTCTCCACCTATCCATCCCTGCCATCAGCCAGGCCAATAGGATGTTCCACCAATCATGGGCTGTCCTGGCCATACCCATTCCTCCCAAGACATATCACTTGTACTAGGAGCTGCTACAATGGCTATATGTCACCGGAGGACTTCCCTGTTCAGATGCAATCCTCCAGAGGTGGCTATGCTGGTGCACTTTCCAAACTGCCACACTGTATTGGAGCCACTGTACACTCTGCAGTTTATTTAGCAACACTAGTTTAAAACTTTTAAGGCTGAGAAAACACATTGCTGGTATAGCCTTCAACTCATTTTCAAAAGATCAGCATTCAGTCACTTCTGTTTTAGAATAAAATCATAGAATATCAGGGTTAGAAGGGACCTCAGGAGGTCATTTAGTCCAACCCCCTGCTCAAAGGAGCACCAATCCCCAAACCGATTTTTGCCCCAGATCCCTAAATAGGCCCCTCAAGGATTGAACTCACAACCCTGGGATTAGCAGGCCAATGCTCAAACCACTGAGCTATCCCTTTTAGACATCTCTTTTAAACAGTATGAATTCCTACGTATTGTTCTCCCAACCTATCCTTATTGTTACCCATAATGATACAGGATAAAATTGAGAGTTTTTTTTTGTTCTAAACTGATTGTTTCACCCATGTCATGTCTTCTGGTTTTAAAATGAGACAGTACAGCTTATTTTCTATGATATATATATATATATTGTCAACTTTATTTCACTTTGTGGTCTCTGTTGGAAGTTTGGGCATTATTGATTGATGTTTCTTTTATTATTTCAGGCATGTGCATTCTCATTATCATCACTGGAATATCATCTCTGCATGAATGCATTACTGATATTAATGTCTCAGCAATTTCATATACTCTTCTTACTGGAATGTTTTGGATGGCAGCAATTTTGCTTACTTAGGAGAGGCATACATCTTTCCTCTATTTGCCTGCTTTTTGGACAACATTTTTTTCCTCTGTGAAAACCCATTTCTTTTGTGAAATTAGCAAAGTCTTGACCATAAAAGGAGGACCACTTTCTGATTTAACTATTCATGGAATTTCAAAAATATTGGATAGGTTATCTCATACAACAAGTACTGAATTTATGGACGTGGATAGCACCATTGTACTGCAGAACATCTGGAAATGTTTACCAACTGCTGTCCACTCTGGAACGTTCCATAAAATTCTAAGTATTCACAACCCTTTTTGATTTTGAAAACATTTGCATGAAAACATTTTTGTTCACCAGCATGTTGGAGAAAAGGGAAAATGTCACAAATACTTGTGGAAATATGTATTAATGAAGTATTTGCACAGACATCTTGCATTATGGATATGCAAGTAGTCGTTCAATCAGTTAGCAGAAACAATAACATATGACTGAGGGGACTAGTCATAGCTCAATACTGAAAACAATATTCACAATGAATAGTTTTGCGAGCAATCCATTGAATAGACAAATATGTTCACATAAGCTATTAATCAAGTAATTTTGAATTGCAAATACATTCATAAAAATCTAAATGTGCTGCAGATAATTTACAAGCAGAAAAAGGATGTGGAAGGCTCTGATCCAAATAAAAAGGACAAGGTGGGAGCAGCACACATGGGGGAAGGAGGGGAGACCCTATGCAGGAACCTGCAGCCTTTACATGCTACAGAGATCCTCACCATCAAAGCTCCTACACCCTAGCATGGAGGGGTTCTAGATGGCAATAGGCTGGGAGGTCCTGAGACAAGGACAGCTGGGCCACGACTAGGCCATGGTGCCTGAAGTGAGGGAACATGCTGGGTGAGGGGACTACTGCAGCCTCAAGGCTGCACTAGTAGCCATAGAGCAACATGGAGACAGAGGACTCTTCCATCCCCAGCCTCTGTATAGACCTTAGCTCACCCCCTGCTGCATGATGGGAGTTCAGAATTTTGCCCAAAGAGAATGGTTAGCAACAAAGGCAATACCACATTTTTAATCACAGTATCCTGAGAAGATAGCAACCAACACAAAAACTGTCAATGGAACAGACATTTTTACCTAGAGTAAAAACATAGAATTAGCATATAGGAAGTTAGACTAGTTCTGGACAGGTCTTTCCCATTTTTACATAACAACTTTCTGATGCTTCTTTTATTGTATCAACACTGATATGAAGACTGGCAATTAAAATGTATTTTTAGCAACACCATTGCGCCTAGTTTTCAGGTCTATACATTGTCTTGTGATAACTGACAATGCGGTGCATGGCTGCAACAAACTTGTTCTTCACAGTCTCCATAGTTAATAATCCTATTTCTCTTTATGGTGAGGTGCACTCATTATCTGATCATAGACTATATTGTTCTCCTGGATATTTGACTTTCAGTCTGGAGGTATTAATTGAAAATCCTGTTCATAGCAGGAGACAACACTTAAATGTTAGGAACGCTCAGGGACTAGAAATGCAGAGATTTTAGATGACTCCATAAATTCAAGTGCCACATCCGTTTCTTTGCATAAATGAAATTCTGTTTCATACAACGCCAAGCCCACTTTAAGGAAAATGCCAACAACCAACCAAAACTTATTCACCTGTTGAACCACGATAACTACCAGGCCAGAAAAATAATTGATCCATCCAGCATACAATGTACAACAAATTCAAGAGAACAATGGGGTCAAATGTCTGATTGTGGTAGGAAAAGCCTGCAGGATGCAGGGCATAAACTGATTATCAGCTAGGTTTAGGTCAGAAATTTCCCTTCACACCGGAGATAATATTGCACAATTAGATTCACAGCCCCACCAACCTACAAGAACAAAAGAAGACCGAAAATAAACCATTTTTAAAACCCAATTTTTAAAATGGTTTCAGCTAATAAAATTTTACCTCTTACCCTCCTTGAAAGGGCATAAGGTAGTTTAAACTGTGTGAAGGATGATTTCAAAAATAGTTTTATCTGCAACATCGGGCATTTGTCAGTGTTAGAGATAACAGACTATATTAGATGGACCACTCTTTTTTTCCAGTATGATAATTTCTGTGCTCCTATTCTAACAGGAAGGAATTCTGATGCCATGTTCCAGTTACATGGCTGACTAATAGAAAAGAGAGCAAAATCTAATCTCCCTCCTCCCACACACTAAATATAAACAATATTCGTATATTACCCAATACTATTCTTGTCATGCACATTCAGGATACATGTGTGGACCAGACCACAAGGAAGGAAGGAGGGAAGAAACAAACAAATGGCAGTCATGGCTCAACAGTCTAGGACTAGAATGGGGAAGTTGTGGGTGAGGTACACTGGCAGATCTATGTGGGAAGTTGGTTTTCAGCCACCATTATCCCTCCTTAGCATAAATTCATACATTCATACAAAACTTTAAAAGGAAAATAAAGTTTTTATAAAATAAAACCCATTTTTGAAAACAGTGCTGTAGAAAACATTTTGGAGCTATGAAAATGTAAATGTACAGCCACTGTAATAACCAAGCATGTTTTTATACATTTTTCTAGATAACACATATTATCATCTGACAATGGGGAAGAAATATTTCAAGAGCTTTACTTACTTGGGATGTGTGAATTTGTCAATGAGGACAACCTTTTCCACCAAGTCTCCTCCAATGGTTCGGACTAAATCATAGAAGTCATTTTCAGAGTATTTCTCAGAGGGCAGCCAAAAGGAGATGTCATTTATCACAGGAGGATATTTGCTGAGAGGCTAAAAAATAAAATAAAATAATAATATTATATATATATACACATACACACACACACACATCTATATAAATGTTTGATTTGGATAGAGATACTTAAAATTCTATTTTATGCTTGTAATAAAATGTAAACTAAGCTTTCATAGAGTTAATTCCTTCAAAACTTTGTGAACTGTTTTTAGAAGCACAAACTGAATTGTCAAGCAGCTAAAGTGCAGTTGTAAGCTGAAAAGCTAATCTCTCAAAATGGCATTGTGGGGTTCCAATGTTCATTGTCTCAGTGCCTCCTTTGCTCAGTTTACAAGTAAAAAGATATTTCTTCTAGCTGCCATTTCCGCAAACTCATTCAACCTTAATTCCTTCTTGCACATCACCACTAGCAACCAAGGCCCTGTAAGGCAAACAATGCAGGTACACTGTGCAATCCTTCCCTATCTTTAATGAGATTGAACAGGCGTACTCAAAAAATAAAATATGGCTCTGCAGTTAGAATAAACATTAATTCTGCTAATTACTTGTGAGCAGGAATAGAATTCATCTGCCTCTTTCTTAGATGTGTTGGTTCTGCAGGTCTAACAGCTCTAGGTCTAACTACATAAGAACAGGTCTACCTACTTAAGAGTAGTAAGAACTTATTTTTGTCACTTTAGTCAACATTTATGACCTTTAAACACATAGATGGAGCAGATCTGTTCAATAAGAGGAGGCCATTTCATCACAGTAATTTTCAAGGTAGAATCAGTTTAAAGATTTACACAGTTCTTTTCACATATTCAAAAGATACTTATCACATTCATGCATAACATTTCCATGTAGTGTATTTTACCGTGTTTATCTCATTTATCTTCTGTAATGTTTATGTTTATCTTCTGCAATGTCCAATTTAATGCTAAAACAGTCTGATTTACAGTTCTTGGTGCATTCTTATTTGTAGACAAAGCAAAGAACATGTTTAGACTCAAAAAATGGGGGTATCAGTTAATTTCCTCTATTGGTTTTAGTTATAATAAAACCCTTAAGATTAAAAAAATACAGACTATTTTTAAGATAATTAATATTTTCATAATCATTACAATATGTTCTATAAGCATGCAGTGGTAAATGTGTCACCTTTGCTGTAGACTAGAAGTCCCTGTCTCATGATCTAAGTAGTCAGGAGAGCATGCCCTGATATTTTCAAGATCACAGAGGGAGGAACAAAATGAGGCCAATGTTTACAGGCACTGGACTTTTAAGGCCCAAGCCAAAGCCCACTGAAGTCAATAGGCTTTGGATCTGGCCCTTAATGAGATTTTTTTCTTTAAATCAATCCTTATTTTGAACAAAAACCAGAACCAGACAGCAGTAGTTCTCTTCTCCTATTCCTGCTTAACTTTCTAAGGGTATGTCTACACTACAAAATTAGTTCGAATTTATAGAAGCTGGTTTTATTGAAATCGGTTGTATACAGCCGATTTTGTGTGTCCCCACATAAAATGCT